TTCCCAACCATTCCTCCTCCCCCAATCACTTGGGCCTGTTGCATTCATAATGCAACAGCAAAGTCCATCGGTTCACCCCCTGTTGACCCGTCCATGTCATGTACATCCTTCTCCTCTTCCATCATCTCGATCAGACTATCGAGGTTGTTGTCTAGGATCTCCCCATCCTTGGAGTCTAGACACCGCTTCAGGAGACGCCGATACTTTTCGATCTTGTCGTCGACACCAACCATGCTTAGCGCATCCACGTATTCCGTTTCCGCTTGACGTTGTTCCGCGAGCATTTGACTTAGTTGCCGTGCCAGAGTTAACCTTTCCTCATATGTATCCTCCTCGATGCTATTTCCGTTGAGCCGGCTCATCTCGTTATCCACTGCCTGATGGATATGCAACCTAGTCTGGTGTGTGATCAGCGATAGGACCTGGTGCTTGGCCAGGTTGGCTTCGTTTATGATTTTGGCCGCCACGTCGTCGGGTTCCATCTGCGCTTCTAATTCGGCGATTTGCTGGCGGACAACGTTCAGCTCGGCCTGCGTGTTGGTTAGGATGCGTCTGGCCTCGGCCTCGGCGACGTCCTTTTCGTGCCATTCGTCGTCATAGCTTTTAGCCAGGTCTTGGAACTTCTCCATGATCAGGGGGAGATGCGAGACTGCACTGTCGTGGCAGCGGCTGATTGGAACGATGGGGGTGCCTTTCGGCATTTGTCTGCAAAGGCGTCTCGGAAGGTTGCATGTCTCTGGGAGTCGGGTGCGAACGGGGACGATGATCGCTGCGGCCCACGGTCCTTCTTTGCGGCATTGAGCTCCATTATGAGGTCTTCGGCCCTTCGGCCTTCGTTGTTCGCAATGTTTGTCGAAGCGTTCCGGCCCAAGAGCGCGCGGATGCACTTCCTAGCGTTCTTCTGTGCAGCCAGATGTAACGCCGTGTTTCCTTCGTTGTCCTGCACATCGAGGAGGCACTGGAAAGCACTAGGCTCCAATGTCTCCTGCAGTTTGTTCAAGATGTTGTCGAGATAGTAGCGCGAGCAAGATGCACTGTAAACACGGCCGTTTTTCATAATGGCAGCATGGTGGATAACTGTACACCCCTGGTTATCTCGCGCGTCCACAGTCTCGAATAGCTCCTTCATGACAAAGGGGAAGGTTTGTTTCTCGTAGCAATTAGTGAAGTTTACCGATCGCATGAATGGTGTCTCTCCGCGGATGTTCTTAACAGCAATGTCAGCGTTGAACCGCTTCAATTGTTTGATAACGTCAATGTCGCCCATTGCTGATGCCCAGTGTAGGGCTGTGTGATTCTCGGCATCAATAAGCCAATTCGGTTGAAAGTTTGGTGGCGGATCCGGCTTCACGGCTGGCTGCTCATTTCTAGAGAGAAGAAAGTAGTCTAGAAGCTCGTCACCATATACGGCATGCTGCTGTTCTGTCAAGTCTTGCATTTGCTCCTCCCTCTTCCTCTTCCTATGACCCGTAGTAGACATATGACTCAAGTCAAAGCGGTCATCCTCTGCCATGTAGGATGCCGAGGCCACCGTCAAATTGTCAGGAGTATCTTCTTCGCCGGCAACGATGGGCTCGGGAGCTTCATACTCCTCAACAACCGGCACAGGGGGAGGGGAGGAGGAGCCGGCGCTGTGTGAGCGACTGAGCGCACTTCGCGATTACCCGACTTACTTGAGTTCCATTTCGGAAGCGGGGGACGGGATTTTGGGGCTTTGGGTTTACTCGCATGTCTGGGAGCGGGGGAGGGCTGTCATTTCCTGGAATAAACTCGAATATGGGACGTATCCTGTCAAAGACACTATGACGCTGGGCTAGGGCTTCGCCAGTCTCAAGAGGAATCCATGTGCCTTTGCCTAGTTAGACACTTTCAATAAGGTTCAGGGCTTGTCTGGACAGACCTTGATATTTGCCATATCCACCCTGGATCTTCTCATGTACATCCTTTTGAACATCTCTTTCAAGAATTCTGGTTCGAGCAGGTTTGTCGAAACCGGCTGCTTTCAAGATGTGTGTTGCGTTGATCCAGTCATCGTGTCTCCTTCGCATAACATGTTCCTTTAAGTCACCACCGAACTGGTACTCATAGACAGGTATCTGCGAAGAGCAAGGTTAGCCTTTTGATACTGCAACGTATGACGCAGATAGACCATGCGCCTCATGAAATATCTATCATTTTTTTAGCCTCCCTAATCTCCACCCTTTGCCGAATTTGAATCCATAACCCGGTCTACTTGGAAGTGTAATGCAGATTTTTTTTCTGTTGGAGCAACCGGCAAGGCAGGCGATATAATTAGGAAGTTCTTACTCCACTGTATGTGGCAGTGTAGATGCCTTCTACCACAGTGTTGCTCTTCACCATCTTGACAGACGATGCTCAGTTGTATCACAACGGCATCCGAAACAACAATGGGGGAGGTCGACGGCACGCTGAGCCAATGTCGGCTAGACGAGGTGGGGAAATGCGAACTGGTATCGAATTCGTGTAAGCCGGGGCGCAATGATTGTCGTCGATGTTCATTCACGGCTACTATGGCGTTGCCCCAAGGCTGTTTGAAGAACCTGGAATTAATATCACGACTACGACGCGTGCCTGTGAGCGAAGATACGCGCATCTACGCGAACCACTTTAACTAACAGATTCTTGCCTTAGGCGCCACAGCGGCTCCCCATGTTCATGCACGTGATGTGGCTTGTGTGCGGACGGGCCACCGCGTTGAGTGGCTTGAAAGAAGCTCCCCCCTTGTCCTCTTGTTCCCTTGTTCGAGTTGCCAGAAATAAGGTGAAGGGGACCAAGTGCCAGCACCTCAAAGAACAATAAGAAATAACCACCCCCTCCCTCCCCTCCCCTCCCAACGGCGATCCTGCATGACCTCGACAAACTGCTTCAGACTCTGAACTGCATACATTTGCGCTATTAATTTTTCACCAAGGAGCTGCGACCTTGCCAATGCTGCGGAGTTGCGAACGAAGTTGGGCAAGCTGACTACTGTACTTCCCCTGGGACAAAGGCGAAGAACCGCAAAGTCAGTGACAGAAAGTCTGAAAAGAGGGGGAAAGACGGCAAAGAACCGAGTTCTCTTTGGACACTGCCAGCAATCATGACGGAAATATTACACAATGCGCCGATTGTCCTCGACAACGGGTCAGGCACTATTCGTGCTGGTTTTGCCGGAGAGGACCTTCCGAAATGCATGTTTCCGTCATGGGTTGGGCGACCCAAGCATCTGAGAGTCCTGGCTGGCGCCCTCGAAGGCGACGTCTTCATTGGGAACAAAGCTTCGAACGAGTTGCGGGGTCTGCTCAAGATTCACTATCCGCTAGAACATGGTATCGTCACCGACTGGGACGATATGGAGAGGATCTGGGAGTACGTTTATGGCGAGGGGCTCAAGACCCTCAGCGAGGAGGTTTGTGGTCTGTGTGAATGCGGCAAACCGCAACAGTTAAGCTGACGCCCGGAGGTATAGCATCCCGTCTTATTGACAGAGCCCCCGCTCAACCCTCGAAGCAATCGCGACACAGCAGCTCAGATCCTCTTTGAAACGTTTAATGTTCCCGCATTGCACACTTCGATCCAAGCAGTCCTCTCATTATATGCCAGCGGCCGGACCACGGGTATCGTTCTCGACTCGGGCGATGGTGTGTCGCATGCGGTGCCGGTCTACGAAGGTTTCGCCATGCCGAGCAGTATACAGCGCATCGACGTCGCGGGGCGAGACGTTACAGAATATCTTCAGACGCTGTTGCGCAAGAGCGGCTACATTTTCCACACGAGCGCCGAGAAGGAAGTGGTTAGGTTGATCAAAGAAGAGGTCTCTTATATCGCGCATGACCCAAAGAAGGAAGAGCGGGACTGGATCGGAGTAAAACCTAACGAGAGCAAATTTGCCGAATACGTTTTGCCAGACGGCCACAAGTTGAAGGTGAGATTTGGCAGATGGTGGTTGTCATCCGGGACTTGGGACTAATTCGGACTCAACAGATTGGCGCAGAGCGATTCAGAGCCCCCGAGATTCTTTTTGACCCTGAGATTATTGGCCAAGAATACCCAGGTGTCCATCAGATTCTTGTTGACGCCATCAGTCGCACTGATCTTGACTTGCGAAAATCGCTTTACTGCAACATTGTTCTCTCCGGAGGCAGCACACTGACCAAGGGCTTCGGAGACCGACTCCTGACAGAGTTACAAAAGCTGGCAGTCAAGGACATGAGGATAAAGATTTTCGCACCACCGGAGCGCAAGTATTCAACGTGGATTGGAGGAAGTATTCTTGCTGGGCTGAGCACTTTCCGTAAGGTTTGTAAACCCCCCGTTACCCCTGACTGCGAACCGGTGCTGACCCAGAAGATAGATGCTTGTCAGCATTGACGACTGGCATGAGAATCCCGACATTATTCATACGAAGTTTACATGATTTATGATTCAAGACAGTCCAGGCTTTTTGAGCAACAGATGATAGCGAGGGCGTTGTCACTTATGAAGCAGTTGTTGTACTACATGTTTGCCCAGCATGCCGTTATATACCTGTCTGTCTGCCGAACAGTGTCCCTTGACAATAAGTACAATAAAACAATCCTGTCAAGCTGTTCGCCGCCCGGGGTCAATATTATAGTAATACCCCCTTTTTTTTACGAAAAAAGAGCTTGGTTACGAAAAGTATGAGGTTATACGTGATGGAATTTGGAATGGAGGGGTTGGAGGAGGAGTGAAGGGTTTTGTCTGATAGATGGAGAAAGCCTAATGATACCCGTTGTGTTGCTGAGACCTGAGGTGCATGAATGGTTTGTGGTATGAATGTTGTTTGCTTTATTAATCCGAGTATTTTTTTAAAAAAAATCGAATGAGCATTGGTGCTCTTTGTCACTGTCTATACTTGGGTCTCGTTCTTTGTTCTTCGCTTCATTCCCCCTTTGTCTCACAACTTGTTTATTGTCCCCCATCGCAGCTCATAATTCCCTTGTCGTCCCTCGAGAATTCAACAACCAATCACAACATATGGTTTCGTGGTCTAGTTGGTTATGACATTTCGTTAACATCTTCTGTTGACACCTACCGAAAAGGTCCCCGGTTCGAGCCCGGGCGAAATCACTCCTTTTTTGTCGATTCGTATATATTTACCATGAGTTAGAGACGAGAGGGAATCCTAAAAAAAAAAACACCCCCTTTATTTTTGTCTTTGAATAGATGATGTGTGCTTTGGAAAATAATTTGTTATTTGTTGGGGTACGTCATGTGAGAATATATATATATATAAAAACACTTTCCTATTGGGGATTCTTCGAGTGTCAGTGAATGCTTTGTCGAGAGCAAGGAGCTATGAACGAGTGTGGTATTATGATAGCAAGTGCTCAACATGGACACAAACACGGACTTTTCATTACTTTCTGCGATGAGATGATTCAGTAACTACCCAAAAGCGATGCTCAAAGAATCCGATGTTTGGAGGATTGGTTTGTCACCTCTGTTCGATGGGCCTCTGGGCGTTGAGGGTCGGAGAAGCGTGGTTCAGCCATTAAGCAGCCAAAGCCACCTCGAAGAACGATTCAATAATAAGTCGTCCCGAGTTTTGTCGGCTGTTGAGTACTCACAAATATCTCCTTGCACGTCAAAGATTTATGAGGAAGCGAGTTCCGTAGACATGACATGTCGGTGGTGCATTGATGTTAGTTTCAAAGGATGAAGATGAACAGAGTAAGGGGACCGTCAGCGTATATTGAAAGAGTCACATGTCAGGAATTAGGATTGGAACAGTTTATAATGTGATTGAACATTGATCATTAAGAACTTGCTATGCTTGATCCGGCTGTGACGCTGCACACATGAATAAATAAAAACAAAAACAAAAACAACTTTTCCTTCCCTGCTAATCATCCTAATCATCGTACACCCTTTTGGTCAACTCCTTCATATCGAACCCTGAATATGAGACGTAAAAATAAAAATTGATGCTCGAAATCCAGATATCGCTGCATTCCCCAATTGCATTGGGTGAGAAACCTCCCCCCCCTTGCCCATGGCTCCCTTGCCAACATGAGGGGTATCGTAAGATGGAACATCCCATCCATGTCCTTCCATCCGATCCGAAATAAAAACGCCATTCCCTTTTTTAGTATTATTGCTCCGCTATGTGATGTGTTTGTTGAATATGTGGTAGTTCGAAGTTATAAAAAATGAAACAAATGAAACTGAAATGTACAGTTCTCGTCGGCCAATGCGCCGGAGGTGGGAGAAGAGATTTGGTTGGATTGTCGAGTCTACTCCCTGGTGAAGGAGGAGCTCACTCTGGCGGCCCACTGCTTGGCCTTTGCGCTCACAGAGCTGGCATCACTCGCGGAGCTGGCGACGCTGCTCGCATCGCTGGTCTTGCGGCGGTAGACATTTCCGGCGCCGCCACGGCCGCAGTAGCCCACGGGGGGTTCTGCTCCGCGGAGGACTCGAGGGAGCGGAGGAGGGCGGGGCGCAGCTGGTCTGCCTCGTGGACGTTGCCAGCGCCGCCGATGCCGCTGAAGAAGCGCCGGGGCGCCAAGGTTGAGGATGTGGTTTGGGAGGTGGAGGAAGAAGTAGCAGCAGTAGAGGGGATGTCTGAGGCACGGAAGGTGTTGCCAGCGCCGCCTCGGCCGGAGCGAATGTAGGTTGTTGTGGAGGGAGAGGTCTCGGTGAAGACGTAGTTGGAGGGCATGTTGGCGGTGGTAGTGGTAGTAGTGGTGGTGGTGATAGTAGTGATGATGTTCTTGTTGTTGTAGTAGTGGAGCTCAGTGGGTATGGAGCCAATTCACGAAAGAGATATTCGTGAGGTTGTCTGAAAGCTTGGAGAAGTGATTTTTATGCAATTGAAGTGGTAGCCCAAGTATAATATATCTTTGTTCGCAAGAGGTGCAGAGGTGGGAGCTTCTCGTGAGTGAGGTAGGGAAGGGAGGTCTTATACAAACACAAACACGAACCAGAACTTACACACCCCAAACCTCGGGTCGACTAATACCAAACAGAGGTTTTGATTTAGTAACAGAAAAAAAGCAGGTCACCAGACCCATTGAAAAAAAAACACACACACATACCACAAGTGTTTCCATTTTTTACGTATTAGACCATGCATCTCGGCCCCTGTTTTACTCAGATCCATCTCTGCTTGGCTATGCTTGGCTGTGCTTGGCGGGAGCAGAGGGGGAGCCAGGCGTGCCAGGGAGGGATTCACCCCCGCAAAACGCTACGTTGTAGTGGCCCCCTGGGTGGTGTTGGTAGTGTCCTTGTCCCTTGCAAGTGCATGACGCCAAATTAACTTGGGAAATAATTTTTTTTTTCCTTCTTCCTTCTTTTGCGAGGTTGCATGTCTTGGTTCCCTCTCTTCCGCTGCAAGCCGGACAGCAGTGGGGCCTAGATGCGCTGAACATTTTGCCCCAGTTGCCCTGCTAGCTGCTTGTGTGGTCAGTGCTTGCTCGCTTTCTCCTCGGAGAGCGCCTAGAGTTGGACTTTTTCTTTAGTGAGGAGAGCCTGGAAGTCTCGGTGTCCCTTCTGACGCATTTTTAGTGGCCCCCTCGCCCTCTGACGAAGCTGGTGTGCGTCACGAGGCCGCTGTAGCACGTTTGCTTGGGGCAGGCCTTGGAGTTTATTGTAGGTAATAGAATGCCGGAAATGGAGACGCTAATGCAAGCCTTGCGAAGGACTTGGAAAAAACAACAGCAGCAACTCCGGATCAGAGCTTTTTTTTTGTTTTTGTTTTTTTGCAAAGTATCTAATTCATTAACAACACTCGAGGAATAAATGGAAACAAAGGGGATAAACAGATACAAGAGGAATAGACGGATACAGAAGAAATAAACAGATACACGAGGGAACGAGCAGCGACAAGAGGGATGGACAGATACAAGAGACATAGACAGATACAAGGGGAATAAACAGGTACAGAAGGGAATGAGCAGCAAGAAGAGACACAACAGCCAAGGCAGTTACGAATCTGCCACCATGGATGTTGCCTGCCCATGCAATTTTTTCCCCTTAGTTGCCGTTTCCTTGGTTGCTTCCGTTGCAGCCCTAATTTATTTTCCTCAATGGATCCTTGATGGATTGATTTATCACAGCCACTCATTCAACCATTCCCTCCATGCAACTTCACCAACCACGGACCAACATCCTTCAATGCCATTTGCGCATGACGAAGAGCGGGGGCTAAAGCAGCAAATTTTCAGTTTGGCCTGACTGCCTGACTGACGGACTGACTGACTGGCCACCATAATGGCTCAATTATAGTGCGCCATCACGAAACACCACACACCACACCATACCATACCATACCATACCATCACATCACCCCCTACTCACATGTGCAAACAAACAAGACAAGCCAAGCTGGTCTGTGCCTGCATGGCCAAATCTCGTGTGGATTTATTTCGGCATCCAATTGGCATCCCTCGACTCGCCACGCGAACATTCAAGCTTATGTTGCCAAGCTTTTCCCAATGTCACGATGCCTTGCAACCCTGAGAGACACGCAACAGAGACACACAGCAGAGAGAGAGAGCCCCGAACCTTCGTTTCTGCAGTGCGACGTTGGCGTAGTGGCCAAGTTACTTTTTCGTCATCTTATAGTCGACAGTGCTCATTATGTGGCGGCATTGCTCAAATGACCTTGGCAACTTCTCTCTCGTCTTGTTGTGCTGCCCCTTGCAGACATGCATGCGGTACTGGGGGCCTGGCCAATGCTGCCTCAAATCTCAGGTCCATCTCAAGATGACAGCAGTCGGTTCTCTCCCAGGAGTAGTGGAAGTCAATTGAGGCTAGCAAAATCTGGCATTTCAGCAACACCAGCCATGTCACGACATTTCTTTGATGAATTTTGCAAGCCACTTTTCTCAATTGGTCTTACACTACTAATAGCACCCATACCCTACACACCCACTCTCACTCCCACAGTTACTCGACAAGCTTTCCAATGTCTTCCCGTCGAGAAGCCACTCTTCAACAAGACAGAGCAAATTCAGTTGCATTGAATCATCAGCAGAACCGTAATCATGGATAAATGCAAATGTCCAGATGATGCAGAAGTTGGAACGAGAATCCATCCAATGCCGTCCAGGTCTTCTCATTCACCCTGTCCTCTTCCAAGCTTCGGATCAAGGCATTCAACCTACCCTGGCACATCTTGATAATTGCCCTATCCCAGAGATACTTTGCGGCACAGTACTTCCTCAAATAATACATTGAACACATTAGAGGGATTGTATAAAGGACTTGGTTCTTGTAAAAAGGAAGCAAGAGGAATGAGAAGATGGCCATGCCAAAGGAGCTTTTGAGGATTTTCCTAGCGTAAGCATATGGAATCCGAAGTAACTTGGATAAACCTACATGTTTAGATGCCCTGTTGAGGAAAGCAACAACGCATATTTTGTCAGCGCCATGGTCATCAGGCGATCCATTCTCATCAGATCTCGCGTCAGGGCGCCCCGGTATGTCTTGAGTTTCGTCTCAAGGCTTTTTATCTCTTCTTCCTTCTCCTGCATGGCGCGTTTGCAGCATCCGTGGTACTTGTTCGTGTAGTGCTTCGCCGATTGTCGGTACGACTCGAACTTACACCAGATATCTTCATGACCGAGTCTGCGGAGGCACGACATTTCCTCGTTTGTGAGAGCAGGGTTGTCATGACTGTGCGGTGCAAGATCGATGGCTTCTTCCAGAGAGAGGCTTCGGTATTGTCGGAGTTGTAGGAAGGCGTCCAAATTGCCCAAGTATTCCTCGTCGGGGTACTCCATCTCATTGTGCGACATGATGAGGATGACCCAGAAGGCACGACAAGTCGAGAGAAGAGTTTTTCTGGCGTCTTTGGATTAATCGAGTTCTTCTGGATATATGTATATGCATCTCTTTTCTTCTTTCACATGGTCGTACCATCAAGCCTCTTTACGGCCCCCTGCAGAGCCAGCGCGGCACTTTGACGAGATGTTGGCCACGCATTTTGCTCGACTACCCTTGGAAATGAACCCAGATATAGTGATGAGGCTGTAGGAAAAAGATGAAGAAGCTGGTCGGTGGAAAAACAAATTGAAGTGTTGAAGGAAAAAACCCCTCCAACTGGACGCCTTGCTGGTAGGCGCTGG